TTAGAGACCCGACAACTCGTTTGGACGACCGGTTCGGTGGACATGAAGTCAGGAATGGATGGTTTGGTGGACTTGAGAGAAGTGAAAGAAGTGAGGATTGGACCCATTTCTAAGATAATGGACAAAATGCTTGAGGAGGACGTGTTCAGGAAATGGGATAAACAGCAGTGTCTTAGTCTACTCTATGGACAGCAATTCCGACTCAAGACCCTCTCGTGCATCGGTAGGTCTCACTCTGTTTGCCATCAGTTCTCTCAATGATTGTATGTTTGATTGCAATGACAGCCAACACNTAAGATAATGGACAAAATGCTTGAGGAGGACGTGTTCAGGAAATGGGATAAACAGCAGTGTCTTAGTCTACTCTATGGACAGCAATTCCGACTCAAGACCCTCTCGTGCATCGGTAGGTCTCACTCTGTTTGCCATCAGTTCTCTCAATGATTGTATGTTTGATTGCAATGACAGCCAACACTCCTCACGAGTGCGAGCAATGGGTTCGTGGCCTCAGGTTTCTGGTGGAAGAGACTCAGAGAGCATCTCATTGTCTTCAGTTGGAGCTATGGCTTAAAAAAGAGTTCAATTTGACTGAAAACTCCAAATCCGTGTAAGACTTGTCATTCAATTGACATTAGTTTCCGGTTTGTTATCAGTTTTGGTTATCATTTCTTTAGCATAACTCTCAAGGAATTGAAGGCATTTCTGACGAGAAATAATAGTAAACTTCAAAACAATAAATTGAAAGAATATTTCCAAGAAGTCGACCTCAAAAAGACCGGCGAAATCGGTTTCGACGGCTTCTCCACGTTTTACCACAATTTGATTTATGAGAACAAAATCTTCTGCGAATACTTTGCCTCTTATTCTACGGATCGCAACCGAATTACAGCCGAAGAATTGGTTGACTTTCTGTCCAAAGAACAAAATGAAGTGATATCTGACGGCATTAAGAGTGTCCACAAACTGATGAAAGAGTTTCTCAAAGACTCGAATCAAAAGCGCGATTCAAACGATTTGTATTTCACTAGAAAAGAGTTTATGAATTATTTATTTTCCAAACAAAACGATATTTGGGACACAAGTCATGATCAGGTGAACCAAGATATGAATAGACCGCTCACTCACTATTGGATCGCATCGTCACACAACACATACTTAACCAAAGATCAGGTGACCAGCGAGTCGTCGACCGATGCTTACGCCCGGTGTCTACGAATGGGCTGTCGTTGTATTGAATGTAAAGATAATTATTTAAATAATTGTGTCTTTTCTAATAATCATTACTTGACAAAACAACTTAGTCACCTGACAACCCTGCCGGGCCTGCCGTTTGGTGAGTATATAGTGCCGGTGTGAGAGTGGTGAGCTTAGTTTAAATATCTGCATTAGTTTGCCATTAATGAAAACGCTTTCATTACATCTGAATATCCGGTCATTCTTTCGATCGAAAACCACTGCACTCTTCCTCAGCAGAGATATATGGCTCAGACATTCAAAGACATCTTCGGAGGTATTTATACATTGTTTGCTAATTAAGATTAAAAATTTTGATTCATCACATGTTTAGATCTATTGCTAACACAACCCATCGAAAGGGATGGGGTGGCGATGCCATCACCCAATCAACTGAAGAGGAAGTTTATTATAAAAGTTTGTAAATATAACCCCATATTCTGCCAATTCCTTAATTTTTATGATTTTAAAGCATAAAAAACTTCCGGAGGGATCGGATGAGAAATTTATTCAACTCCGGACTACTGACGATAATATTATGGATATGGATGTCAGCAATTCGGTTAAGAATGGCGTTCTATATCTGGAGGACCCAATTGATAGGGTATTCATTTGAATATACAGTACTATTTTGGACACTAAATGTTTGTGTGTGCGATGCCATCAGGAATGGAGGCCTCACTTCTTTATGCTGACCAACGATAAGATGTATTACGCAGAGAATGACCACAACTCCGAAGAGGACGAAGACAATGAGAGCGAACGACTTAATGGTCTGAACCATAGAGAGGGCACTTTGATTGGCACTGAAGAGTTGCATTTGGATGAGAAGTGGTTTCACGGAAAGCTGGCCGGAGGTCGCAATCAGGCCGAAGCGCTTCTGCACCGGTATTCACACTTAGGAAACGGAACATTTCTGGTTAGGGATAGCGATACGTTTGTCGGCGACTATTCGCTGTCGTTCTGGAGAGAGGGACGAGTGAATCACTGCCGGATCAAACAAAAACAAGAGAGAACTGGAACTAAATACCATTTAATAGATTCAGTCACTTTTGACACACTTTACGGTCTCATAACTCACTATCAGTCGCATCCACTCCGGAGTCAGGAGTTTTCCATTCAGTTGACTGAACCCGTGCCTCAGCCCAACTCACATGAAAGCAAGGACTGGTATCACTCGAGTATGACTCGAGTCCAGGCCGAGGATATGCTTAAACGACTCCGATATGACGGCGCCTTTCTTGTGAGGCCTTCCGAGAAGGAGGAGAATTCGTTCTCCATATCGTTCCGGTATTTATGAGTGATTTGTTTATTTTGTCATAAAATTTCATTTATTTGGATCTCGTATTTCAGAGCCGATAATAAGATCAAACACTGTCGTATCAAACATGAGGGAAGGCTTTATATTATTGGAAACGTTCAGTACGAAAGTCTCGTCGAATTAATCAGTTTCTATGAGAAACATCCTCTCTATAGGTCTGGTCATTATATCATTAATAATTGCAAAACTCGACTCTATATTCACTTTCATGTGTTTATACTGTTTAGAAAAGTTAAACTCAAATATCCCACAAACGAAGAAATTGTCAAAAGGATCGGTTCTGTGAGTACTTTATTCTTACGAATTGTTTCAGTGATTGTTAACGGTATAACGCTGTGAAGGAACCGATGGGAACAGAAGGCAATTACATGGATCCCAATGGCCTCCCAGTGACTGTCAAAGCATTGTTTGATTATAAGGCCGACAGAGGCGATGAATTATCTTTCTGTAAGCACGCGATCATAACGAATGTGATGAAACTGGAGAAGGGCGGGTGGTGGAGGGGGGACTACGGCGGCAAAAAGCAACACTGGTTTCCCGAAAACTATGTCCAAGAGATCGAAGGCCTCGATAACACTGAAAAGGTATTGATTTCTAGAAATATTTAATTTGATTGTCATTTCTATTTGATTGTAAACACAGTCTTCAGACGTGAGTCAACCCTTTGGTAATCTTCAGAAGGGAAGTATAGATATTATCGGCTGTTCTGTGGTCGCGCAGAACGGGACAGTTAGGGGCAAAGATCATGTGTTTAGTGTGGTTTCTCCCACACAAACCACTCCAATAGAAATCTCAGCGCAAACTGAAGAAGATATGGTCGAATGGATTACGAAGATTAGAGAGACGTCTCAACTCTTTAACGATAAGGTTTGCAATATTTCTCGGCATTTGGTTTATTTATATCACTATATATTTGTTTGGTTTAAAAGATGAAACAAAATCAAGAAATGGAGAAAAGCTTACGAATAGCACAAGAATTCTCAAATCTAATCATATATTGTCGGGCCGTTCAGTTTGTCCCCGAAAGTGAGCACTTTATGAGAAATTTCAATTGTGAGCCCTGAATGAATAATTGTATACTTATTTAGAAATCGGGAATTTCACGGAAATGTCTTCATTTCCGGAGTCAAAAGTAGAGAAATGGTTGACACAAAACAACTGCCAATTTTTGCTCAAATATAATAAAACTCAATTCACTCGCATTTACCCGAAAGGCGGTCGAATAGATTCATCGAATTACGATCCCATGAAGATGTGGTTAAACGGCATCCAAATGGCGGCCCTTAACTATCAGACTCCCGATAAAGCTATGCACTTGAATGGCGCAATGTTTAGACAAAACGGTCGATCCGGTTATGTCCTCAAGAGTGACATCATGTTTGACGAGGATTTCAATCCTTACAACAGAAGTACACTTAAAAATGTGGAACCAATGACTCTGACAGTGAAAGTAAGATATTTGATTATTACCGTATATTAATATTAAACAGACAAAGTTGACTTGATGTTAATGATAATACAGATATTGGGGGCGAGACATCTCGTTAATTCTAAAAGAGGTTATATCAGCCCATGGGTTGAGGTGGAAATTGTGGGCACAGAATATGATGCCAACAAACATAAAACACATACAATTCGTAAGTCATTGGAAATGTTGGACACAATTGATTGTATTTTATAAACTCTTTTAACATAATGTTTATTACATTAGCGGATAACGGTCTGAATCCCGTGTGGAACCAGTCATTTAACTTTCTGTATTCAACAGGTCTAGATCGTAAAGATGCCGAACAACACTTGCTGCTCCTGTACAAACCTCTGGGTTTGTAAAATCCGGTGCCCTGCATAGGTTAGTTTACGAATTCTTGACCATACATTAAGTATTGGTTATTAAATGGAGTTTTTATTGAACTGTCGTTTAATTGTATGATTAAAGGGTTCAGAAGTGTTCCCCTGAAGAATGAGTACAGCGAAGAGCTTGAATTGGGCTCACTCTTGGTCCACATTAGCATCAAAACAGTTCCGGTATTAAAAGCTTAGCAATTAATTGATGCCTATTAACCAAATAACTAACACTTGATTCACATTTCATGCCTTTACTACTGCTCTCAGTCTAAGACTAAATGCTTGCACTAGGATTCTATCGCTTATTAGATGAGGTGCTGGTCTCTGCCATTCTCTCAATTAGTGATCAAATTTTGAATAATATTTTGTTTGATTAGTCCGAAGACCCTATTTATAGCTCAATCCAGGAATTGAGAGACCGATCGCGTAATTTAAATAGACTCATAGACGAGGCCGATAGGGTCGGCGATTCACTAGAGGCCCAGCGTTTCAGAGCTCAGTTGGGAAGAGTTGAAGAGCAGCTCATCAATAAAAATCAGGAGAGGTTTGCTTTAATGTCAACTCATTTTCATTGAAATTGACTTTAATTTGGATGTATGTCTTCACTAGAATGAGGGGTTCAACAAATGGCAGTCTTTAATGAATCGCAAGACATTAATCCCAACACACAATCAACTGTTTGTTTTTACACGAATACAATATTTTACTATTACTTACGGAATTAACTTACAGCTCATCACCAAATGTTGACAATTGTTATCCTTAAAGCCTTAAAAGTGATCAGTACTTAACTTATCATTATTTTGTAAAGTGTCTCAAACTATGGAAAGGCCTTAATTTTATTGCCAAATGAATTTCTATAACAAAGAGTTTATAATCATGTTTATACATCCATTACTTATACCGTCAAACAATGGCTCTACATTTAATCATCGAGTCTATGAGAGTAACGCATTTGTTACCACTTTTGTGGTCTCATAAAAGTTTATTTATTAATTCATTTGCTAAACAATTGCTGTTACATAACTCGACACAATATAAGCTCTCATACTGTCATTCCTTGTATACGTTATACTGTATTCTAAGCGGTCAGCTCTTAAACAACTATATTATTGTATTTGATCTCAATTTATATGTTTTATACAAATTGTATGATTGGATCAAAAGATTCAAACAATTTTCACTCATTAAAAGTGTTTGAAAGCCTAACTACCGGATGCAGTGAACGAGACTTATCTCTGACCTATCACTCAATTATACAACTTCTTCTCCCTCTCGCGCACGAGTTTATCCATTTGTCCGGAATCCAGTTCCTTCATATCGGACACAACACTCGTGTCACTGAATCCGAACAACACGTTATAATAGACGGGAAAAGTGAAGTGACTTTCGTTCANTCTCCCTCTCGCGCACGAGTTTATCCATTTGTCCGGAATCCAGTTCCTTCATATCGGACACAACACTCGTGTCACTGAATCCGAACAACACGTTATAATAGACGGGAAAAGTGAAGTGACTTTCGTTCACAAAAAAAGTTCTGCCATTCATTTTGCAGTTCCCGAAAATGGTGGCCACCAGAGGGTTGTCGCTCTTAATCACCTGACGCTGAACGGCAGCCCCGGGTTTGCACTGAAACGTGTGTGTCTTGAACGGCATAAACCATCTCCACGTCGAGACACTAAACATACGAGTGTTGCGGTTGAAGTACATCCGTAAGACATAGCGTCGCGAGAGGTTTATGTGAAACAAAGACGTTATGATCATTATTTCCAGGATATACTTCTCCATAAGACTAGGATTATGGTGAGGATCAGGTGGTACTGATGCGTCTTCGGGCAACAGTTTGAAGACAATGCATAAGAGTATAGTGAAGGCGGGGAACAGTATGCCTCCCATAGTGGCGATGCGATTGATTTCTGCCTTATAGACCAATATATTGCTCGTCCGGTCGATGGCATCCTTCTTGAAGTTGTGTTCAACTCCTCTGTCCTTCAGACGAATGATCCGCCAATACGTGCGAAGTCTCGCGTAGTTTATAAACCTCTTGCAGACACTTGTGGTCACATTGGGTGACAACAGTCTTCGGGAGGCATTCACTTGTGTCCAACACTGCAAACATGTGTCATGAGTATGAGTCATGCGTTCATTTGTGGTCATTATTGCGACAAACCTTTGAGTGGATTGTCCGACAATTGTATGCATCGGTTGGACACCACTTGACATGACATCGGAGTATAGAAAACACAGCATTAGGTTTGCATCCAATGTATGCATTCATGACAAACACCACTCAATTCAATGTGTTTTACGTTCAGATCATTTAAAACCCCAATTCATGTCATGTTTGGACCGGAGTTTGTGTGTCACGTGACTTAGTGGCTGTCAATGGGAGTCATCTATTGGTGGTTGAGTTGACACAAACGCAATGCACTCAACGCATGCGCACTCAATGTCTCTCATAATTGTCTCACATTTTGTTGTTTTGTTTTTGTATTTAATTTAAATTTAAATAGTTTTTCACTTTTATTTAAATCTCTTTTTCATCGTTTGGATCACTTTTAATACAGTAAACCATTTAATAAACACTTTTATAGTGAACTGTATTGAGTTAGAGACCAATGCAAGCATTTGTCGTGATTTCTATGCATTAACTTCGAGTACAGTATGACTTAAATGTAAACAAAAAGTGTTTCAAAATATTGACAATTATTTGAGTGAAGACTGGACTCCAAGACATGTGACCATTGGTTGCAAACCATTTGATTATCCGTTCATTGAATCAACACTTTTGACATTAAATGTAATTTCAAACTAATTTTATATAAAAATATAGATTTAATTCATTTTCAGCAATAATTTTCACATTTGATGCCATCATTAGCTGTAAACTAATGAATGACTGTTTGTATAGTTTGTGCGAAAAGTATGAACTCATGGCAAGTGAGCGGAAGAGTGGCTGAAGAGTGAGGCCATGAGTGGAACAAATGCGAGCACTTCTTCGGGATCGTCGACGTCTGGGTCGACGACAACAGAGCCGTCGATTCAGCAGAAGAATAATCTGCAGAGAATCGCACTGAAGAAGCATCAGCTGAAGACATGGACCAGAAGTAAGAAGTTGGAGAAACTGGCCGTATATTCGCAGTGCAGGGCTGCGGACAACACATGCAAATGCAACGGTTGGAAGAACCCCAACAACAATCCCATCCCTCCCTCTGACAGACATCACGACAGACACAACAACGCAGTCTCGCAGATGACAGACCCCTGTCGTAGTTGTGGTCATCACTTGAGTCAGTCTTTAGTTCATGAATTACCGTAACTTTTGAGTCAATCTTGACTCCCTTTCCTTATAATAATATTGAGTGCAAGGGTTAACCCGATGTGTATCCGACAGGCGCTCACGTGAGTCACTTGGATGCCGTGAAAGAGGAGGAATTGGATCGACTGCTGGGGATTGTAGTGGACGTGGAGAACCTGTTTATGTGCGTTCATATAGAAGAGGATACGGACACAAAACAAGTGTATTTCTATTTATTTAAACTGTTGAGGAAAGCCATTATGATTATGAGTCAGCCCTCAGTGGAGGGTCCGCTCGGAAACCCTCCCTTCGAGAAGCCTTCCATCAAAACGGTATGAAAGGACTGAATTGAATTCCAATCAATTGTATGACTGACTGACTGTGTGTTTGTGTCAAAGGGTGTCATAAACTTCGTGTGTTTCAAATTCAGTCACTTGTCTGAGAAGGAATGGCAGACAATGTATGATTTGGCCAAAATGTTTCTCCATTGCCTCAACCACTGGAAGTTAGAGACCCCTCAGGCCCGCAAACAGCACTCACCTAATGAGGACGTGTCCGCCTATAAGATCAATTACACGCGATGGCTGTGCTATTGTCACGTGCCTGCCTTCTGCGACAGGTATGCCTCACATATGCCTCACATTCAGTTTCATATCATTTGATTAACATTTGTCTCAATCGGTCCACAGTTTGACTCATTTCGAGACGTCTTTAATCTTCGGTCGAACTCTATTGCGGTCTGTATTCCAGACAATGAGACGACAATTATTAGATAAATTTCGGGCCGAAAAGGACAGAATGCCGGCCGACAAGCGAATACTCGTTTTGACTCATTTCCCACGATTTCTCTCAATGCTCGAGGAGGAGGTCTACGCAAACAACTCTCCCATTTGGGACTCGGATTTCAAACAGAATATGCCGTCGTTTGCCTCCAACTCTAATGCCTCGAATGCATCCAAAAATACTTCTAATTCCTCCAACACATTCACCTCAACCCTAACCCCAACCCCACCCCCAACCAACTCATCATCAGAATCGCAATCAAAGTCGTTCTTAAACGTAAGCACCGGTACGGGAGCTCTGCTCTCGTCGACGCCATCGTTGGCCTCGTCGTCCGGGTTCACGACATTTAACTTAAGTCCCGGTTTGACGACATCACCGAAAATGACAAGAAGTGAGAAACGCATTCGTCGTAACTCTGAGGCCAACCCTGAAGTCAAAGTCGAACCGACGACTAAAAAGCCTAAGATCTCAATCCCCGGGGATATCAGTGACGACACGGTCTCGCGTGCTGTCAATGCCATAAACAAGACGAAGGCGGCGATGGAGGTGACGACCGCTCTGTTGCCCGAAATCTCGGCCAGAGATGAGTCGGCGCGCAGTGAGGAGAAGAAAGGACTCATTAGTTTCCATATCGTCTCCAATTCGTTGAGCAAAACGGTTGACAAACAGGACTTAATTTGGTTGATAGGACTGCAGAACGTGTTCAGCCATCAGTTGCCGCGAATGCCTAAGGAGTACATCACTCGACTGGTGTTCGACCCGAAGCACAAGACGTTGGCACTGATCAAGGACTCGAACAAAGTGATTGGCGGCATATCCTTCCGTATGTTCCCCAACCAGGGCTTCTCGGAGATCGTGTTCTGCGCCGTCACTTCCAACGAACAGGTCAAGGGTTACGGCACTCATCTCATGAACCACTTGAAGGACTACCACACCAAGCATAAGATCCAGCACTTCCTGACCTATGCGGACGAGTTCGCCATCGGGTACTTCAAGAAGCAGGGCTTCACCAAAGACATCAAACTTCCCAAATCCGAGTACTTGGGGTATATCAAGGAGTACGAGGGGGCGACCCTCATGGAGTGCCAACTCAACCCCTCCATCACTTACGTTCAGTTGACTTCTGTCATCAGAAGACAGAAGGAAATCATTAAGAAATTGATTGAAGAGAAGCAGAAGAAGTTACACAAAGTGTATCCCGGACTCAATTGCTTCAAAGACGGCGTTAAAGAGATCGCCATCGAAGCCATTCCAGGCATCAAAGAGTTGTCCGGTTTTAAGCCCGAGAAGCGACAGCTCAAAGAAGAGGCCAACGACTCGGAGAACAGTATGTTTAACGTGTTTAAGACTATTCTGACGCAAGTGAAGAACCACAACAGTTCGTGGCCTTTCCTCAGACCAGTGGAGGTGTCGGAGGCGCCCGACTATTACGACTACATTAAGTACCCCATGGATATCAAGACTATGTCCGAGAGACTGAAAAATAAATATTACGTCAATAAACGCCTATTTAATGCCGATATGACCCGAATATTCCAGAATTGCAGGGCTTATAACAGTCCCGACACCGAGTACTACAAGTGCGCCAACACTTTGGAGCGCTTCTACAATAATAAGATGAAAGAGGCCGGACTTCTCGAGAAATAGCACCCATACCCCCAACTCTACCCTCTATCCCCTGCACACACTTATTATTGACTACAATATTAATGATTCATTTATACAGTATTTATATTGCAATGATTTGAACCGAAAGTAATTCTATAGATAAATAGCACCCATACCCCCAACTCTACCCTCTATCCCCTGCACACACTTATTATTGACTACAATATTAATGATTCATTTATACAGTATTTATATTGCAATGATTTGAACCGAAAGTAATTCTATAGATAACGATATTTTAAGAATTGTCTTATTTTAATAGTATATTGTATTATAGTTTTCATATGTATTTATTAGCACCACTTTTATTATATGATTTTTATTTTTGTTTATTCTCTCTTTTTTTGTTAGAAACTGTTTAAAACAATTCAAACCTTGAATTGAATTCAAGTTTAAAACAATTGTTTTGTTTAAATAATTGTTTGTCTTCTCGTAGAGACTTTGAAGTTTCAGATGATAACCAAATCAGACCTGAAGTGTTCATATTTAAAACAATTCAAACCTTGAATTGAATTCAAGTTTAAAACAATTGTTTTGTTTAAATAATTGTTTGTCTTCTCGTAGAGACTTTGAAGTTTCAGATGATAACCAAATCAGACCTGAAGTGTTCATGAAATGTTTCGATTCATTTGAATGATTGTAAATATATTTCTCTCAATTTATACATTAAAATTATTATTCTATATATCATTTACATTAACGTTTATGTGATTATCTAATTCATTATATATTAAGAATTAATTATTAAACAATTATTATTATATTTATAAATTGATACGTAAATAAAGAACAAGTTAATATAATTTATTGAAATTTTTTATTATTTTATTCACTCGAGGTAATATTGAGTCTCGATTATATGAAACAGCGACAATGATTTATATGAGTAATACAGTATAAGATTAAGATTTTGATGGAACGTGGTGTATTGGTTTACTATGAGACACGTTACAAATAAAGCTTAATCTTATATTACTTTTAGGGATCAGCCTCCAATAAAAATCATTGTCGCTGTTTCATATAATCGAGATTCATTTGAGAATTTATTTGACACAAATCTAATATATTGTATATCACAGATTGCCATCATGAGCAAATTTAAATGATGAAGTAATTTGTTACTTTTAGATTTTATTGTAGAAAATAATTTATAATAAATTTTCAATTGTCTATGTGTTACATCGAGACCTCCAAAATATATAGGAAATGAGGGTCAATATTATATGGAAATTATAGCTACAGTAATAACTAGAGGACAGGAGATATTTCAATAATATCTACAGAATATTTAATATTTTAATATGTCCAACGAGTAAAAGCAAAAAGAAATATACTGTAAGCTACCTTTCCCTAATAGGGAATCCCTATATTAGGAATCCTAATTTAGGATGGTAAAGTTATAAATCTAATTATAAACTGCAGTATATTTCTTATTCATTAATAAATTTTCAATTATAAAATATACTGTAAATCATTGAATTCAAAAACTATGACTTTTAACTCGTAAGTAAAAGTACTTTCTTATGTATTGTTAGGAATTTAAAACACTTTCACATCTAATGGTAAGAAACCAATCATATATTTGCTCGTTGACCTGATTTTTATTATAAAAGTCATAATGGTTTGTGATTTAAGTCTTATATGTGTAATATTGACGAGCATTTGGATTAAGTCTAGCCATCGATCGTAACAAACAAACCGTACAACTCTTGAGGAAGTGTACCGAAAGAAGTTATGTTGAGTTTGGGATGTCTTAAGTTAGTGTAAGCAAAGAGAGTGCCAAAGAGTCCTACATTTTGATCCATCGCTATTCCATGTCTTTTGTGACCAAAATGTTTGTGAAAGAGTCCGATTGTGATCAATCTTATGTCACAAACACTGGCTATCAAACGATTATAACGATTATAACGCATATAACGCCTCTCCTCCTCAACAGAGCCGATGTATCACACAATACATCACTTGATTGCCATTCCTTTACATGGACTGAAGAGTAAGAGGTCGATGCCCTCCACCTCATCCCCATCCATAGCACCACTACTTCTGGCCATAAGTGATGCACACCTAAGAAGTTATCCAAATATAAACAATTTAATCAATTTTCATATCAATTATTATTTTTACACAAGTTAAAACACTTACTATAAGATTGAAAATATAGTTTCATTATTACAATTCTATGGTATATACAGTATATGATATAAATTTTGATTTAACTTACTAGTGGGAAACAAAGTTTTGTTTTTTCAGTCCTTAATTATTCATAGCATTTAGATTAAACTATTAATTGCTATCAAACTAATTAAAGCACACACAGGCACTCATTAAATACAATACTCTTTTGTATACAAATTCTTATCAGAAAAATACTGATAAATAATTGTTATGACTTTACTATAATAAACTGGTTGAATCCTATTTGCATCGATGTTCAGAATTGTATGACTAAACCCATAATGAATGGTAACATACAATGTATAATTGAGGCTATTATTAGCTAATTTAATAACTCTTCCCTCATTAACATTATGTGGATTCAAACCGCTATATTTAAACATTTTCATTAAAGTAACCACTTTGTGGTTTGCATTAATTGGATGCAAATCTACTTCAATTAATAAATAATTAAAAGGACATTTATTATTTAAATAAAACAAATCATTTTATGAAAAATTTAAATTCTACTTTATATTGACTCTCGGCAACTTTTGAATGCCTATTAAACTGAACAAAAAGGCAAAAAACTTTAGTTTTTAGATGTCGTTAACTTATAGCCCCAACCCCTTTCATTTTCGTGTCATTTTCATAGATATTAATTAACAAAAAGCATAAAACATTGTCATTGCAATCGATATAATACGAGCCAATTAATGTCATGGTATGCTCTCAAATACGAAATACACTTTTTATTATATCGAGATTCACAGGAATTCTGCAATAATTAGCAAAATTATGTTTTAAGAACAAAGAATAAAATGTGAACTCAACTTGATGAAAAAAATCACAATCCAATTTCTGTAGTGAGATACTGAGGGCATATATTTTTTCATCTGTAATTAAGTTTATATGAAATATTGTGAAATTGGATGTGAATGTAAAGGCAATTGGAGTAAATATGGGCCGAGAACTGGGCGTTGGTTTGTTTTAATCAACCACTGAACTGAAAACTATACGTTATATTTAAATTACTTTTAGTGTATTGCGATCATATTATTTGTGTAATTAATAAGAACTGATAAATGAATTTCATATGCGAGTTGTCCCCAAATATGAGAGAGAGAGAGAGAAGAGAGAGAAGAGAGAGAGAGAGAGAGAGAGAGAGGAAAGAGAGAGAGAGAGAGAGAGAGAGAGAGAGTTTGTTAACAATTTATTATTATAATTCTAGTAATGAATACGATTTTCTAATTATAATTATATTTGGTGATCAAAAAAAGTAATTTATAAAAGAGTATTACATGTATTCATATAGTCATCGAACTCTTCATTTCAGTTCACTTTTCACTGAATGAGATGAATATTAAGTAATCGAAAATTTTTACTGAAAGTATAATTTACATAAATCGAGAATATTCTGATGGAATATTTTAATATTTCAATTAACAATATTAGTTTTGTTGCATAATATATGAAAATATAATAAATGATAATATGCTAGTTAATTATTGTGTTTAAAATTTTAAATCATAATTACAAAACAAAAATCAATTGCATACTAACAAGTAAGAGCCTTTCCCATTATCCCTCTCGCGCACGAGTTTATCCATTTGTCCGGAATCCAGTTCCTTCATATCGGACACAACACTCGTGTCACTGAATCCGAACAACACGTTATAATAGACGGGAAAAGTGAAGTGACTTTCGTTCAGAAAAAAAGTTTTGCCATCGATTTTGCAGTTCCCGAAAATGGTGGCCACCAGAGGGTTATCGCTCTTAATCACCTGACGCTGAACGGCAGCCCCGGGTTTGCACTGAAACGTGTGTGTCTTGAACGGCATAAACCATCTCCACGCCGAGACACTAAACATACGAGTCTTGCGGTTGAAGTACATCCGTAAGACATAGCGTCGCGAGAGGTTTATGTGAAACAAAGACGTTATGATCATTATTTCCAGGATATACTTCTCCATAAGACCAGGATTATGGTGAGGATCAGGTGGTACTGACGCATCTTCGGGCAACAGTTTCAAGACAATGCACAAGAGTATAGTGAAGGCGGGGAACAGTATGCCTCCCATAGTGGCGATGCGATTGATTTCTGCCTTATAGACCAATATATTGCTCGTCCGGTCGATCGCATCCTTCTTGAAGTTGTGCTCAACTCCTCTGTCCTTCAGACGAATGATCCGCCAATACGTGCGAAGTCGAGCGTAGTTTATAAACCTCTTGCAGACACTTGTGGTCACATTGGGTGACAACAGTCTTCTGGAGGCATTCACTTGTGTCCAACACTGCAAACATGTGTCATGAATATGAGTCATGCGTTCATTTGTGGTCATTATTGCGACAAACCTTTGAGTGGATTGTCCGACAATTGTATGCATCGGTTGGACACCACTTGACATGATATCGGAGTATCGAAAACACGGCATTAGGTTTGCATCCAATGTATGCATTCATGACAAACACCACTCAATTCAATGTGATTTACGTTCAGATCATTTAAAACCCCAATTCATGTGATGTTTGGACCGGAGTTTGTGTGTCACGTGACTCAGTGGCTGTCAATGGGAGTCATCTATTGGTGGTTGAGTTGACACAAACGCAATGCACTGAACGCATGCGCACTCAATGTCTCTCATAATTGTCTCACATTTTGTTGTTTTGTTTTTGTATTTAATTTAAATTTAAATAGTTTTTCACTTTTATTTAAATCCCTTTTTCATCGTTTGGATCACTTTTAATATATTAAACCATTTAATAAACACTTTTACAGTGAACTGCATTGAGTTGGAGACCAATGCAAGCATTTGTTATGATTTTTATGCATTAACTTAAATGTAAACAAAAAGTGTTTCAAAATATTGACAATTATTTGAGTGAAGACTGGACTCAAGACATGTGACCATTGGTTGCAAACCATTTGATTATCCGTTCATTGAATCCACACTTTTGACATTAAATGTAATTTTAAACTAATTTTATACAAAAATATAGATTTAATTCATTTTGAGCAATAATTTTGACATTTGATGCCATCATTAGCTGTAAACTAATGAATGACTCGTTTGTATAGTTTGTGCGAAAAGTATGAACTCATGGGAAGTGAGCGGAAGAGTGGCTGAAGAGTGAGGCCATGAGTGGAACAAATGCGAGCACTTCTTCGGGATCGTCGACGTCTGGGTCGACGACAACAGAGCCGTCGATTCAGCAGAAGAATAATCTGCAGAGAATCGCACTGAAGAAGCATCAGCTGAAGACATGGACCAGAAGTAAGAAGTTGGAGAAACTGGCCGTATATTCGCAGTGCAGGGCTGCGGACAACACATGCAAATGCAACGGTTGGAAGAACCCCAACAACAATCCCATCCCTCCCTCTGACAGACATCACGACAGACACAACAACGCAGTCTCGCAGATGACAGACCCCTGTCGTAGTTGTGGTCATCACTTGAGTCAGTCTTTAGTTCATGAATTACCGTAACTTTTGAGTCAATCTTGACTCCCTTTCCTTATAATAATATTGAGTGCAAGGGTTAACCCGATGTGTATCCGACAGGCGCTCACGTGAGTCACTTGGATGCCGTGAAAGAGGAGGAATTGGATCGACTGCTGGGGATTGTAGTGGACGTGGAGAACCTGTTTATGTGCGTTCATATAGAAGAGGATACGGACACAAAACAAGTGTATTTCTATTTATTTAAACTGTTGAGGAAAGCCATTATGATTATGAGTCAGCCCTCAGTGGAGGGTCCGCTCGGAAACCCTCCCTTCGAGAAGCCTTCCATCAAAACGGTATGAAAGGACTGAATTGAATTCCAATCAATTGTATGACTGACTGACTGTGTGTTTGTGTCAAAGGGTGTCATAAACTTCGTGTGTTTCAAATTCAGTCACTTGTCTGAGAAGGAATGGCAGACAATGTATGAT